AAGGAATCCCAACTACCACAACCATGACCTTTTTTTGTTCGTACGTTACTATTACAAACCCTAACATCGAATCTATAGGGGACCTACAAAACATAGGCTGTCAAGATAGCCCCAGGGTTACAGGTTTAGTGACGTGTTTCTTTCTGCCAGTGTTGCCTGTTTCGCCTTTAGGGAACTGAAACAACTGTTGTGGGTGGTTTGTTTTTTTTGGTTGTTTTCCTAATCCCTAATTAAACTTTGGACCCCATACAAGGGGTAACACAAACGGGTCAGGAGTGAATAGGGGCCCTACACAAAATGGCCAGCTTGCATGTGCACATATGCCTTATGTAAGGTTCAAGTATTTGCAATATGTTTTTGCTCGAACATGTATGTATTTATTTGTATGTATGTATGTAGGCATGCAAATCTCAAAACCCTAAAGCCCTAAACCCCAAAACCCTAAAGCCCTAAATGCCTAAACCCAAAAGCCTCTAGCCGAGGGATCCCTTGTAGGAGCCTGTAAGGAACACCTCTAAACCCTAAATGCCCTAAACCCTGAACCCTAAACCCTAAACCCTAAACCCTCAACCCTAAAACCTAAACCCTAAATACCCTAAACCCTAAACCCTAAACCCTACATGCCCTAGTGCCGGAAGTTCCGAAGGCCCCCGTCCTCTCAAGCGGCCGAGGCTGTCATTGACTTTTGTGGGTTTTAGGGATTAGGGTTTAGGGTTTAGGGGTTTAGGGTTTAGGGTTTTCTGTGGTAGGTGTTTGTAGTTTTGCGGTTTTGAGGATTAGGGACTTCTGTGGGTTTTCTGTGTAAGTGTTTGTAGTTTTGTGGTTTTGAGGTTTAGGGTTTAGGATGCTTTTGTATAGGGTTTGGGGTTTACGGGTTCTGGGGGGTTTTTGATGCGGCTCGTTCCCATTATTAGGTCTCAGGGTATTTAGGGTTGTAAGGGCTTCGGATCAAGGATTAGGATTAGGGCGTATGTTTCTTTTTTTTTAAATAATTTTGGGTTTGAACCCTTAGGATCAAAATAGCCCGAAAGCCTTATATAACAGGGTCTTGGGGCCCCAAAGCCTCAAAATATGACCCTAAACCCCAAACCCTAAACCCTAAACCCTAAACCCTAAACCCTAAACACCCTAAACCCTAAACCCTAAACCCTAAACACCCTAAACCCTAAAAGTCCTTTGAGGGTCAGGGGAAGGGGTTTAAGGGTTTCGGTTCAAGGTTTCGTGTTCAGAGTGCGGGGATTCGGGTTTTCAAAGGTTTGGGGTTCTTGCAAAGGCTCTACAGGGCTTTTTATGTTGCTGTATATGTTGTTTTGTAGGGTTCTATGAATGTGAGGGTTTTGGGGCTCAGTGGTTAGAGGGCTTTGTTCTGCTTCTAAATAACCGCGCACAAAACCTTGAAAGGTTCTACTTAAGCCCTAAACCCTAAACCCTAAACCCTAAACCCTAAACAGTTTTGTTCGTGCCCTTGGGTGTTTGAGCGTGGGGATCGAGGTGTACTATAGGGCCTGCCCACGGTTTTAGGGTTAGGGTGTCGGGTTGGATTTCGCATCTACCCATAGGCCCCATAGTAGACCCTTTCTGGGGTTCATATTTGGCATCCTATAACGTAATCCCAAAAAGGAACTACTATGGGGCCTATGGGTAGACTTTGGGGCTTAGGGTTTAGAAGTTTGGGATCGGGGGTTTGGTTCTTGCGAAATGAGTGTCGCGGGGCCTTGGCTGGATGAGATTGACCAAGAGCTCCTCTCGCACACTGCTGGCGGAGGCGGGCCCCAAATCCTATGAATATATCCAGAGACTCCACTATCCCTTAATTTAAGGAATATACCTTAAATCGTAATAGGGATCCTACTATCATTTAAGGTCCCCTAAACCCTAAACCCTAAACCCTAAACCCTAAACTTGGCGTTTATGGGCATGACGTACAGCTGCCGCGCCACCCAAGCAAGGGCGTCTAGAAGTCAAAGCAGCGGCGACTTCTGGGGAGCAGCACACCCTAAACCCTAAGCCAATAGAGTTTAGGGTTTAGGGTTTAGGTTTTAGGGTTTAGGCTAAACCCTCAACCCTAGACCCGTCCTCGCACAAGTAGAGAACTTTTCCGGCATTCGTAACAGCAAGGAGAAACAGGAGCCTTCAAATAAAATCTCTTGAGCCCTATAAACCCCTGCTTAAACCATCTTAAACCCCTTCACCCCTGTAGACGCTAAGCCCTAAAACTCTTAGACCCTAAACCCTAAACTCTTAAACCCTATCAGCCCGAAACCCTAAACCCTAAAACCCTAAACCCGAAAACCCTAAACCCTAAAATCCTAAAACCCCAACCTTAAACCCTAGAAGCCCTAAACCTTCGCCTAAGGGTCCATGTACCCAAATAGTATGTACATTGGCCCTAAAGTACCTAAATAGGGACTACATTAAGCTCAAACTATTTGGGTGCATGGACCCTTAAACCCCAACCCTTATGGTCTCTTATAGGATCCCTTAAAGGAGCGCTTAAAGGAATCTTTTTGGGTGCATGGACCCTAAACCCTAAACCCCAAACCCTAAACCAAAACGCTAAACCCTAAACACAAAACTCTACCCCCTAAACCCTAAACCCCAAACCCACCACCCGGCTATTTGCCTCGGCCCTCTTCGTCAGGCCATCGGCAGCGCCTATCCATGCAGAGGCGTTTGGGGTTTAGGGCTTAGGATTTAGGGTTTAGGGCTTAGGGTTTACGATTTAGGGTTTAGGGCTTAGGATTT